GCATCTAATTGCTTAGTGTAAATATCATATATTTTTGCACTCCGCAGCTACAGTGGAACTGCAGCGTCATTTTTATTTGTATTTTTTAACTACGTGCGTCGCCGCACAAATTTCATTCTTGTACAGGTACTGCAGTACATGAAGTGTTTCTGTTGCTCCATGAAAACGTCTCTGAAATGTCTGTATTTGACAAATATTGCATTTTATTGACTTAATCTGTGATAAAGTATGCAAGTACCATGCAAACATCTCTAGGGGAAGCAGAAAGTGTCAGACTTCACGTCTACGCTTTCAGTTCACCTATCGGTAAGCACCGCACCCCTTAGTTGCTGTTGCCAACTCGGACAAACAAACGGAGTTGCTAACTGTCTTACTATGACAGCTGTCAGTGTGAAAACCTTGTCTCAAGATGTTTTTGATACATTTTGGACACATAAGGACCACCATTCAAGTGGGACTTAAATATGCCATGTAGGGGGTTATCTAAAATATTTTAGAATAAATATGGTGGGTAGCAAGATTAATTTGGAAGCGAGGGTTTACAGATCACAATGCAAGGGAGAAGCCTCATGTTACGGTTGTCACGGTCGCAGATGACAACATCCACGATGCATGTACAGCAGGTTAAGATTAAATTAATTTACATTTAACCAGTTGAATATGGAGAGGCACTGAAATGTAGACCTTGTTTGTGTACACTGTACATGAGGTGAGAACAGTTAGCTATTTATGTTGGTACATTAGCATGGATTCACTAAAATTAACGTTAGCTAGTTTTAGCCAGAGATACCTTGCAGCACAAGATGACATTAACATTCTGCTTGACCAGATGAAAATTGTAACTTAATGAAAACATATGACAACCAGGAAATGAAAGTTTTCGTCTTCATTGGGATTGGGGTTGAATGCTTAGGGATATTTTGCTCTGTTTTGTTTGGGTTTAAGAAATTGAATAAAATAAATTCCATTGCCCATCCTCTCAGGATACATGGAATCAGTGTTACAAGTACCCCAGGCACATCGTTTTTCCATTTTTGTAGCATAAACACCACCAAGTTGATGAAAGCTTCAGATCTTCCAGTGTTTCTCTATGGGTCAGAAATCTAAAGATGACCGATTTCCGGTCCCTGTGCAGCTCATAGTCCGTGGCATTTTCTCATCTGCATTTGAGGGGAGGGGCTTACGATAGGTCAACTCCGCCCCCAACTGCAAGCTGCAACACTCGCCGATCGGTCTGCGCTGCTCCACATGAAGTTGAAGACACTGCCATTCCCAGCATGAGATCCGCGAGATCCAGACCTCGGCATTTCTAGGCTTATAATTAAAAAAAAAAAGTTGTGAAATAACTGCCTAATAACACTAACTGAACACTGGTGTTGCAAAGATAATGGACTTTCTCATCGGAGCTGATCAGCGGTCTAACAGTGCTCGTCAACGTCAAAGTGACAGATGGCCAATCAAATCTATGAAGGCGGGCATTACCTGTTTACAGGTGTGTAGAAAGTACTCAAATTATAATTTTTTTTTTTAAAAAGTAAGGTTATTCCTAGCATTTGGTGCCATTTGAGCCCCATGATATGTGGTATTGTGTAAAAATGGGCTAATACTTTGCTAAATGCCCTGGGGTGTATTCCAGAAAGTAGGTTCAACAAAAGTTAAAACTTGAAATCTGAGTTGACTTACCCTGAGATTGGAAACTCTGAGTTTTCAGTTTCAGAACAGCTGAACAGTGTTAGTTCAATCCACTCTGAGTAGGTTGACTCTGAGTTTAGCATGTGCACCACGACTATGAGAAGCCATAATCAATGGAGCTCCGAAATTACGATTCACCATGGCAACAGCTCCCGCCAAAAAGACTTCCGCATACTACGGAATATGTAACTTTCATTCTAAATCAATGTTATCAGGTGAAAACTGGCAGATAGGTAATTTATTAAACTAATAGGCCTATTCATTTTCATGGTATCCCATGGGCAAAAAAAATAAATAAAAAATGTGGCAGCAGAAAAAAATTAAACATAAAAACATAATTCAATCAGGTAAAGCTTCAAGCGTGAAATGGGTGTGGGTGCGCTAAGGTTACATGACTTTACAAATATTTGACATTCAATAAATATCATTCAGTGTATATATATATTTCAAATGTGCAGCAGCTTTTTCTACATAGTCTAATGCTTTTTCACATAAATAAATGTTCTCTAATCCAACATGCTACATTTCATAATTCATTTCATAAGCAAGAAGGCTATGAGAGACTCATAAAATGGGAGGAGAACCTGCACCAGCACCACTGACAGATGAAGAGGAAATGGCCACAATGCCAAAATTAAAATCCAACAGGGAAAAAAATAATTTGTTGCTCTTGTATTTGTGGAACATAAAGATGACCAAATAAACTGTGAATAATTTGTGTTTATTTAACAGCTGTGGTGGTTACGGCATATATCTTGCACTACCCTTCCATCTGGCATCCTTCCATTCCATACAGTAATCAGCTTCATTTTCGGAAGGTGCGATGGTGAGAATATGTGTGTAATCAATGCATCCAACCACACGCAACCACACTGGAAATCCTTAAGGAAATTCTAATTATTAGGTTACTTAAAGGTCACAACCAGATGTTATCAAGTGAACGCCATTTAAAAATGGTACCGTTCAAATAAATATGCATGTGGATATGGCAAAACAAATAAATTAAATTAAATTAAAGTAAATCATCTCCTGATGTAAATGTAACTCAGCTGTACCTTTTATGGTTATTAGTAAAACATTAAAACAAAATTTAAAATTGCTCTTTAATTAATTAAAGCATTAAAAACACTAAATTAAAAATGAAACAAAACTTGTGTTCTTAAGCATGCGCTATACGTCCGCTTCTTAGATTAAGCCAGTCGGCAGGGTAGCCAAGGCTCACATTTTCAGGTCTTTAAGAGTAAGCTGGTCGGCACAGTAGCCAAGGCACACATTTTGGTAAGTCACTAGATTAAACCATACGGCATGGTAGCCTGGCACACACAATTATTGTTCACTAGAGTAAGCCGGTCGGCACGGTAACCGAGGCAAACATTTTCTTTAGGACACTAGAGTAAGCCGGTCGGCAAGGTAGCCGAGGCACACATAGCTAGTACACTGCCAAAACCAAACTTAATTACATGCACATTCATATTCTAATAATTGTGTTTTTATCTCCGAGAGTTGTCATCACTGAAATGCAGTAATTCTTTGTGTGTTTTTTTTTTTAAATTCCAATAAATTTTTGGTTAATTTTAAGCCAGCAATAGTAATTTTCAAACAAGCCAGCGTGTTGGGTCAAACATTTGAGGCAAACCAGCTGGGTTTGTCCATATTTGACCCAGCGCTGGGTTGGCAAAATAACCCAAATTGGGTTGTGTTTAAGCATTTTTAGAGCGCAGTTACGCCAAAAGAGTATGCTGTCATATTTGATGCCATACCCCAGCAAATACAATTTGTAAGAGCTTATGGAAGTGATTCTTCTGAGGCAATATATGTTAAATGTTCCTAGGAGACGTTGATATTCTTAAACACAGTTGTACTAATAAATATAGGAATATTATAACAGGTGATACAGGTCAAAAGCTTATTGTGGACCAGTTTATTTAGAATTGGAATAAAACTTGGCGTGTTTGTGAAATATACTGTTTAAATAATAAAGTAAAAGAGGCTATATTTAAAATGTTTCATGGTATATGCAGCTAAAAGTGTGTTAGAGAGATTTAATATGGATATTGATTTTTCCTGTGATTTGTTTGCTCAGTGGAAAAGGAGTTCATATTACCCATCTATTTTGAAATTGTGTCTACACAATGATTTTTTTTGGGGGTGGATTTGGAAAATTTCACATACATAAGAAGAAGGTCAGGGTCCAAGCCAAATTTCATCCATTTTCTTCAGGAGACTTAAGGACTACTGCACCAGTTTGGAGAACATTGTTAATAAAAAAGAAAACGATACTTGTATTTTTTTTCCACGAATATACAGTTGTTGATTACTGAATAAACTGTTTGCACACTCTTGTACATTACTGTTGTATATTTTGTTCTGGTTAATAAAAAAAAAAGAAGAAGAATTAGAAGAACCGGTGTACTGACAAAACATGCTACCTATCGGATTGCGCTACCAAAAATATATTTGCATTGTTTTAAGGGTAAGTTTAGGATAAGTGTAGGTGCGGACGGGTAGGTTTAGGGTAGGGGTATATATGGACATTAAAAAAAAAGCCTCAAACCACATGAATAAGATGCTGGTAGCACAATCTGATAGGTAGCATTTTTCACTATTGATTTGTGCTTCCTATCTTTTTAATGGAAGGTAGCGCAATCTGAGCGGGCAGCACAAATCAGAACACTGGCACGCAACGCTTCGGTCTGCGCAGTGCTGCATGAAGTCGAACACACCTATTGGTACCACAACATGATCGCTGTACCACCTGATCACTGCAGATTCATTTTGCAGTTGATAGTGTCGCCATAGAAATGCACAATCCTCTCGTAATTAGGCTACCTTAATTATTATGACATGGCGTGAACGCAGCATTCAGCTCATCCAACCCCAATCAAACACACCTGAACAAGCTAATCAAGGCATTCCAGATTACAAGAAAACTACAGCCAGGTGAGTTTGATCACGGTTGGAATTTACCTGATCTGCTACAGGCAGGTGAGTTTGATCAGGGTTGGAATTGACCTGATCTCCTTTGATCTTTAAAACCCCATTTTACAGAGGTTGATATTGCAGCAACACGTATTCGGTTTAGTTTTGTGTGTTTCGCTGTCCTTTTCTCCTGACGCACCAATTCAGCGCCTTTTCCAGCAGAGATCATTGTGAGATCGCAGGTCGGGAGGATGACAGCTCGAGTGTATTTCTCGTTAAGTGACTCTCGGTCTTTGAAAGTAACACTGTTTAGGAATGAGTAGTAGGTTAATACACTTTTGGTTTGAAGCAGACCTATGTAAAATTTGTATTTAGGTTTGAGACGCATTGCGAAACCCCTGATTTTCAAATGCTGAAACTGCACTCCCTGGTCTTCTCTAATGATCCTCTAGTGAACGGTTTCTGTCCGGCGAGGCTGATGGTCGTGCCGTCCCGCCGAGGATGTTCTTCTGATAAAGACTGCCCTGGAGGACACAAATGCTGTCGATTTGACACTGGGCCTGTTTGCGTGCTGCCTGTTTTCAGTGAGTTTCCGTTAATAATGGATGCTAAGGGTCCCCCCCCACCCCCCAAAAAAAAACACGAGTAACATTTAATTCAATGTTAGTTTTAAGCAGAGACTTTGCCTTTGGTTGTTCTCGTCAGAAGTAGTTTCTGAATTCATCCCTTAGGGTAGTTTTAAGCACAGGATAACTTTACAAAATAAAGAGGAACAATACTTAGAATATAGTTAATTTTGTAGTTTAAACTTGCTATTCATGCTTTGAATGTTTTGTGCTGTATATTGAAGTGGCATACTGTCTATATGCACAAACTAAAGCTGACTGTCTGTGTCCACGCAGTGAAGCCAGGTCAATGTCCCATACCAGAGATGATTCCACCTTGTGCTAAAAGCTGTTTCCATGATGGCCAGTGTCCTGCCACACAGAAATGTTGCCCAACCACCGGTGGCTTTGCATGCAGTGAACCACATGGTCAGGGAAGAGGTCAGGCAAGTTGTCAGGGCAGCGGCCAGGGCAGCGGCCTGGGCAGCGGCCAGGGCAGCGGCCTGGGCAGCGGCCAGGGCCAGGGCAGCGGCGAGGGCCAGGGCAGCGGCCAGGGCCATGGAAGCGGCCAGGGAAGCGGCCATGGCCAGGGAAGCGGTCAGGGGAGTGGAAGCGGTCAGGGTAGTGGCCAGGGAAGCGGTTATGGCCAGGG